TTTAATTTTCTAATTCTCTATTTTTATTTTTGGCAGGATAAAATATTAATCACCAAATAGAAAATTTTCATTGGAGATATAAAAATCATATAAATAAAACAGAAACATCTAGAAATGATGATTCATAGTTTTTTTAGGTTTTTTTTGTGTGTTGGGGGGGAAACTTGGGAACAAATAAGCCGACTCTACCTTATTTTTGTAAATAGCACTTTAAAATTAAAAAGGTTTATTTATCTAGGCCTACAGATATTTCCTTCTGAGGCTTTTTTGTTAATACATCTAACATATTTTAAGGTATTCCCACCCATATGTAAAAACATACTTAATAAAAACGTTTGCCAAGCATTAAATCATTTAAAAGTTAAACATTTCAGTTGGAAACTATGTGAACTCTATACACCCACACTTATAAAATATTCAACTTTCCAGTGTAATGGGAAAATAATGTTATGATAATTCCCTTTATCTGTTAGTTTTAGAATTTCAGATTAAAGAGCACCTTTCCCTACAAAGAAGAGAAAAAAAAAAAAAAAAGTCACAGAAAGTAAATTAAAAATTTAAAAAATTTAATTGAATACTTTAGAGAATATTATTTTTACTGCAAAAATGATTCCAAGACAAGTGTAATCTGATTTATTCTTAGTCACAACAATAAAAGTCTAAAAAGTAAATATAAATTAGCATTTGAAGACTGTAAACAAAGACAACAAAAAGATTACTTTAAACACATCTAAAATTATAAGATTATGTTTCTTGGTTTTATTTTTCTCTGAAGTCTAAAGGAGAGAACTAGGAAATTAAAGAAAGTAAGAGTGGCTTATGTCATGTGCTAGCTTCATTTCGTTTTGCAATTTAGAGCCCAGCAAAGAAATGATTTAGTCTACTTCATTGTTTGAGTAAAAAATGATTTCAAAATTGAGTTTTGTAATAAGGAATGACATGAGAAGTGGTATTAAAATTTCTTACAAAATAGAAAAAGGAAATTTAGTTTACACAACAACATAAAAGAAGTCATTAAAAAATCTATTACTTTGTTCAGTAATAAAAATGAGACTATTTGCCTTTTATTTAGCATTTGTGTAATAATTATTTTAAACTCATGTACATCTAAACTACTGTACAACCCAAACAGCTAAGAAAAGAAGAAGATATTATTTCTGAATCCCAATTTTTACTCCATTTCCAAATGCTGCAAAGGATTAGAGCATTTTCTTCCTCTTGAAAATATATTTTTTTTTTTTTTCACTCTGCCATAGTTTTCCCACATATAACTAGGGCATAGTACTAAAACTGAACCATGAGAAATCTAGGTAGGAGGTTCAATTTCCAGCAGAGCACATTGTCATATTTTGTCATGCACAGACCAATAAGTTAGAAGAAACTACACAAAGTTCTTTGTTTCTTCAACAAAGGTACCTGAAGTAGAGCAACAGAGAAAGAAATGTCTGATTTCAGACACAAGTTTCTATAGGAACTGATCTTCAGAAGAGCCAAATTCCTTTCAAAATGTATGTGAAATCAGTGATGCCATTAAGCATACTGCAATACTCTTATTTTCCAAACAATCCAACTTTCTTCTTTGACTTAGAATTGTAAGACTTTTACTTTGTAATGTAAAACAAATCATGCATATAACCACCCTGTTAGCTGTCATCATCAAGTGAGAATTTACATAAATAAATAACCCTAAGAATACAAGAACCTTATACAAAAGAAAGAAGTGCACTAAATAACTCAACCTTTAAGGATGTCTCTGTGTTTTAAAAAATAAATTCTTTATGATATCTAATAAAACTTGAAAACAGCAGGTTAAAAAATAATTTTAATTTATATAGCATTGGGTTTAACCTAATTCTAATAAATTCTTGGGCAACTCTTTATAAGCCCATATTGTGCTCTGATCATTAATGGTTTTCAGAGCAAGTGGAAAATGCCGTGCATCTAGCGATAGTGACTACACATCATGCGGTGTAAGCACAGGAGGAGGAATGCACAGAAAATAGATGGCTTGCGTTCATTTCAAGGCAAAACAGGAGCATAGCAACAGCAGGTATTTAGAAAATGAGATGCTTGAATCTAGCTTTAACTGCTACCCTCATTTATCTCTAAGATGCCATCAGCATTAAAAAAAAAAAAAAGCTGCCCTGAAGTTGATTAAACTCATAGCGACCCCTCCTTGAGTTTCCGAGGCGGTATCTCTACGGAAGTAGATTACCCGATCTTCCTTCCAAGGGTTTGAACCGCCAGCCTTCTGGTTAGCAGTCAAATGCCTTGGGCACTACACTACCAGAGCTCCTGCCATGGGAATATCTTGATCTAAAGATAATCTGCAAGAACATTTCACATAAAGTTTATTAAGAGAAATTTTTAAGAAGATTAATGTTAAGAAGGGGGGATCACAACAAAAATCAATGACTACTAAACAATCTTCCATCTTATTTAAACTTCCAGACCCTTCCTACAAACCAATGGATGTAGTTTTTTTAATATAAGATTTCAATTCTTCTTGGAGAACGAATCAGTTTATTGCCTAGTCCCTCTGAGATTATCACTGTTCATAATAATATGAAAGAAAGCATTTGTTCTTCTCTTAAACATATCTTCCATAGCTCCATTCAAATAGGTACTTCATTTGCACTGAAGTAAGCATCTTGGCATTCGTGTTTTGTGTTCACTAACTATAAAGGAATGCTCTTTCAAAAGTTTAGACTATAGCTCTTTCCATTGTTCTAATTTATCTGTTCCAAACATGGAGGAGGAACTAGAATAGCTTCATTAAATAAACAGATTCTTTCTAGCCTACTTAAATTGCAATAAGAAGATCTTGCTCTCTTTTATTAGCTACAAATCACATTGGAAAACTGTGACATGGAGTATGAACGGAGTTTCAAACTTCCTGAATCAATTAAGGGTGTTGCAAAAGGTCATTAAAGTTGTATCTGCCCACAGAACTGGAATTAGTGAAGCAGGCCTATTTTGGTTCTCTGTAGAGTCAATGTTGTTGTTGTTGTTATGTGCCATCGAGTCGGCCCCGACTCATAGCGACCCCTCCTTGGGTTTCCGAGGCAGTATCACTACGGAAGTAGGATTGCCCAACCTTCCTTCCGAGGAGTGGCTGGTGGGTTTGAACCGCCAGCCGTCTGGTTAGCAGGCAAGTGTCTTAGCCACTATGCTACCAGAGCTCCTTGTAGAGTCAATAGGTTCAGAATTTTTTTTTTTTTTTTTTTTTTGATGAATTTTACTAAACCCACTTACCTTTTAAACCAAAGTATTTATACATAAAGCTAAGTCATTGAGAGAGGATGGAAACAGGAACTTAAAAAGGCAATCTTCACAACTGTGTATAATATCCAGATGGAAAAATCTGAGAACCCACCCAAAGGCCTTTTGACTACAAGGCAGTGCAAAGTGGAGTGGTTAAATAGCTTGCTTCCTCCTAAGCAGGCCTCCTTCAGCAGACATTTCAAAGGTCTTGGCTTTGAGAAAATAAAACTTCACTGTCTCACAAAAATACGAAAGTCCTGACCAGTGCACTATTTATTGTTAGCAAACATTTTTGCAGATGTTTAGAAACATTATTTATTTATTCAATTACTGGCAAGCTATCACAAGTAATCTTTAAGAACTAAAGTTGCATTTAACCACAATCCACAGCTAATGCCTTAAGAATTGAGACCAGGTTTTATGTTGGCAAAACCTAAGCTGATTCACTGTTAATAGCTGCTGAAATTTCAGTACCTAACATATAATTAGGAAGCAAGTCTAGAATCTTGGTTGAAGCAAATTTTCAACCATTTTAAGCCACAAATATGCATGATAATGATTCATATTTTCCCCTATCATTTGTACTTATTCCTTGCTGATATTTGTTTACTTAAAAGAAGAAAGACTCTTTTTTTTTTTATGGTTTGGAAACTTTACATCAATATGAGATGTATAATGTATTAGGCCATATCATGTTGACCTACTAATAATGCACAACAGAGCTAGCACTGACATTCAATACATACAATAAGCTTTGTTAAACTTTTCCCAGGAAAATCTGGAAAGAATTTTTACGCTGCCAAGAGTAGCTTTGTTTTCCCTGAATTTCTCAATTAGGTTAATAAAATCCAGAAACCCTTCAGTTAGTGACAAACTCTTTTCTTTTTGTTTAATGATTCCATCTACTGTTAAAACAAAGAATAGCAATTGTCTAGCTTCATTTCAACTATATAATTAATAAATATAAAGTACTTGTGTAATGTTCATGGGTGTTAAATTCTTATTAAACAGAAAATTAAAATACCCATTGGCCTTAGAGGAAATTTACTATGGTAGGCTGCTATTGATGTATTTAATAAACAGATTCAGAATTTTTAGCATTCTTTTACTACTTAGAAAATTGTGTAGGGATAAAATATAATTGTAAAAATTTGATTTGTTGATTTTTTTTTCAAAATGTAAGCATGTTTATAAGGGCATATTCACAAATTAGTTCACTGGAAGAAAGAAGAAATTATTTATTTCAAAATATCCCTGCTTTAAACTATTAAGCTTTAAAATATGATTTGTGTGTGGTCAAAGCCTAATTACACAACTAATTATGGTGCTGAAATTTCGTAAGTGATAGCTCTAAATCTCTTAAGTTTTCCAAGAAATATGATAAATTCTAAAAGACAAAGGTAATTCTTTAGAAAAGCCTATAAATAAAATGAAAATTGACACTTTCTACTTGAAACAAAATGAGATCCAAAGATATGCCATTGAACCTCTAAGAAAGAGTTTTCTTTACTCTTTAAGTGAATATTCCTACTGGAATGTTTTATCTGTTATTCCAGAATTAACAGATATGTATTTGTGCATGCATTTTTAGTACTGGGAAACTTCCAAAAAGGATCCATTAATTTTCAAGTTTGAAAGGGTTTTATTCTTAGATAGCTATTGAACATAGTCATGGTAGCATAATAACAATTATATTTCAGTAAAACCTAACATGATGGCATCTAACTTTTTTCCAGTCGTTGACGGAGGATGCTCCCATCTTGGTCAGGTTTATGCAGATAGAGACATCTGGAAGCCAGAACCATGCCAAATATGCGTCTGTGACTCAGGAGCTGTTCTCTGCGATGACATAATATGTGATGAACAAGAATTAGACTGTCCAAGCCCAGAGATCCCATTTGGAGAATGTTGCGCAGTTTGCCCACAGCCTCCAACAGCTGTGAGTTTTATTAAAAAAAAGAAAAGAAATTCAAATCTGTAAGATTCGTATATTCACATGAATAGCTCTATGCTGGTTACCTAGTGCCATTGTTACAGGAAATATACCACAAATAGGATGGCCTTTACAAACAGGAGTTTATTCTCTTACAGTTTGGGAGGCCAGAAGGCCGCGTTCAAAGTGCCAAGTTCTAGGGGTTATGTGAAAGCCCCTCAACCTTGGGCTTCAGCTCTGCCTGTTGCTCCTGCCCCACTGAATCTAGAGGCATCTCTTCACTCAGGCAACTACTAGCTGCTGAGGCTAACAAGCCCAAGGTTGACAAATAAAACGGCACAATCCCAATGTTACCAAACCACACAGCAAGCCATTAACTTAGGTCCATTGAAAGTCCCAAGGTCAGCAGAGCATGGCAGACTGCTGAACAATGACATGGCTACATGCAGGGTTCAAGGTGCCATAAGCTGGAGACTGTTCCCCAAGGCTTCTCCTTCTATACTGGAAGCAGACCACATCCCTAAGGCAACTACACATCTGCTCACAGTATATTCCACCATGGAGCTGATTACCAGTCTCATCCTGGGGAGTACTACATCCAGCTGCCCAGCCACTCAATCAGACCCAGCCAAGGTGACACACAAACTTAACCATCACAAGTTCCTAAATCATATTTTGGCTCATTCTTTTATCATTTTGTCTTATTTATTAATCAATAATTGAATAGGCTCTCAGAGTCATCTATTGCTAGTATCTGTCTTCATAATAAAATTAATCATCACCTTCATTTACCACATGTTTTTGAGCTATAATACATTTTCCAATATCTTTGGACTAACATCTTTTGGAGCAAAAATTTGCTGAGTGTGATACTTTATTTCTTAATGAATTGTCCAAGTACATTGAGGAAAATAGTTCTGGCTCAGATTACCTCCAGTGATATCACTATTACAAACATTATTGCCTAAAGGCTTCTTGTTGTTGTTGTTGTTATGTGCCGTCGAGTCAGCCCTGACTCATAGCGACCCCTCCTTGGGTTTCCGAGGCAGTATCACTACGGAAGTTGGATTGCCCAACCTTCCTTCCGAGGAGTGGCTGGTGGGTTTGAACCGCCAGCCTTCTGGTTAGCAGTCAAGTGACTTAGCCACTATGCTACCAGAGCTCCATAAAGGCTTCTAGTGTTTCTTAAATATTCTACAGAACCAAACTACTTAGGAAAAAATAATGCAAATAATATATTTCCTTTGGTTTATGCTCAATTAGAAAATTAACAAGAGCAAGTTAGACATAAAACACCTATTTGAAGTACAACCTCAGCTCTGTTAAAACAATGAACATGAACAGAAAATATACAACAATCATTTGTACCTAACTGCGTTTAGGTTCCTAAAATGTTAAAAGGGAAAGTGTATCTGAGCTACCAATTTACATACAGGGTAGATAGAGATATGGGCAGTAACCCAGTTTTGCTTATTATCTCACTTATTAGAACGAGAACGAAAACAACATGCCTAGCTCTTGATCAACATAAACCTCTCCTGTGAGAAGTCTGATGGGTTTAAGAGATAGATTCACACATACAACAAAAATATGGGCAATGTAGAAGATCATGCAGTGTAATCAAGTGATTTAGTATGTAAGGAACAAGAATAGTTTACTTCTTCATGCTTAAGAATGTATTTCTTTCTATATAAACATGCATTCTTCAAGTTATTAGCAGTCAGAGAGAAAATGAAAGTCATGGTTGTCAAACAATCACATTGAGATTACAAGTAAAAGGTGAATGTTCCAATTTTAAAAGTAGGGATTAAATGTGATTTGGATTAAGAAATAAACATGCAATTTGGGACAAACTCCTTGGGAAAGTTGTTCCTATGTCTTATTTAATATTTATCTTTTCCGTTTATTAGCCTACTCGCCCTACTGATGGTCACGGAGTTCAAGGCCCCAAAGGAGATCCAGTAAGTCAAAATTATTTATTGAAATGAAATGCATGTTCATTATCATTCCAGTAGTTTGATTTCTTTTTTTTTGTTTCTTGTCATATCCTTCCCAGATCTGAACTTTCAGGATTGATACATTTGCTAAGATATTTAAATAAAGGCATAAAATGAAAAACAGAGTCCATAATTGTACACGTAAAGATTCAAATTTCCCAAACTATATACAATTTCTTTATCTTCATTATCAGTGTGGAAAATAAAATATAAGTCCATACTGAAAAGAACAAATTACACTAAAATTATTCAAATGAATTGGATGAAAGTGTATTTACTCCCAAGAAAATATATAACTTATACTGATTGCTCCTCTTACCAAGTAGAGAAGCTATAATGTGATAATGATTCTGAATTACTAGGACTTCTCACTCTCTTATCTTTGATTTTTTTTTTTTTTTTTTTTAAGGGCCCTCCTGGTATTCCTGGGAGAAATGGTGACCCTGGTATTCCTGGACAACCAGGTTCCCCGGGTGCCCCTGGCGCCCCTGGCGTCTGTCAATCATGTGCTCCTGGTGGTCAGGTAATTTACAGAACTGAAATAGCCATTCCCTTTAAAACTAGCTAAGGAGTGTGGCATAGTGGGTAAGGAATTTGGCTGCCAACCACAGGGTTGATGTTCAAACCCACCCACCAGCTCGTCCATGGGAGGAAGATGAAGCAATCTGCTTCCATAATGATTTACAGCCTTGGAAACACAGTAGGCTTTGCTGAATCTAAATCAATTTGATGGCAGTGGGTTTTTGGGTTTTTGTTTGTTGTGTATTTTTTTAAAAGGACCTCTGGTGGTGTTGTGGTTAAGGCATCAGGCTGCTAGCAAAATGGTTGCTGGTTCAAACCCACCAGGCATGGGAGAAAAAGGAGTCAATGTGCTTCCTTATGGAAGGAATGAAAAAAAAAAAAAAAAAACAAAACCTCGTTGTGGAGTAGTTTCCCACTCATAGAGACCCCTCCTTGGGTTTCTGAGAAAGTATCTCTACAGAAGTAGATTGCTCAATCTTCCTTTCCAGAAAGTAGATTGCCCAATCTTCCTTTCCAGGAGTGCCTGGTGGGTTTGAACCATTAGCCTTTTGTTAGCGACCAAATGCCTCAGGCATTAGCTGCCAGAACTTTGAAAACCCTGTGGGTTTGTTCTGAGGGGGAATTGACCCAGTGGGTGATGAAACTACTTAGTTTATCTTATTTTCTTTAAACTATATTACATCTCACAATTGTTCTACATGTGTTCTCTGATTTCATGTTTTAACAATTATTATTTAGTGCTTCTATACGCCAGACACTAAGTGCTTTATAAATACTCACTTTTCCTCATAATTGCATTATTCCCCTGAGTTGCAGAGCACATATGATGCATGTACTATGTTTTAGAAATGAACCTTCAACTCCCAAAAGAAACAACCTACAGAATTTATAAATTGCTGTAGCTCTCCCCTATTCCCTTTCCAACTCCAATCATAAAGTCTCTGAAAGTTTGGGCAAGATGCAGATGAAAAAATGTGGATGCTCTTTGTTGACTTCAAATTTCAGTGCACATCGTGCTCTTTCTGAGTAACATGGAAACTAACATTCTGTTTGTAAAACAAATACAAAGAAAGAAAGATAAATAAAAGTAAATTTGTGCTGCATGGAGTTAAGATAAATTAGAAAACACATGCACACAAATCTTGATGAGTTTTAAAAAATACTTTCCAAAAATCCATTCAGCAAGAAGTGAAGCATATCCTCTAACTTATTCTTATCCTGATAAATAAATCCCATCTCTACACTGAGAACTGAAAATAAAACAAGTTCCAAAGAAATCCAATAAGCATTCAGACTTTCTATTATTTTTGTGCTTATTTCTTATGGAGATTTTTATTTTTGAGTGAATCATATCACTCAGAAGCCAAAAGACATATATTTTACTTGTGTCAGTAACCATTTAGGAAACTTAACTTCTCCATATTTGCATTCAAAATAGAAATTTGAATTATAAAGTCTCAAAGCTCTTTCAAGCTCAGTTTATGATCCTCTGTTTTCAATGTTAAAGGTATTGCTTAGAAATAGTAGTTTGAGTAACAGTAATATTTAGAATTAACACTACATAGAGTTAGTTGGGAGCTCTTTTAGCATAGTGCCTAAGGCAGCCACTTCTCTGGAGGAAGATGGGACAATCTACTTCCATAGTGATACTGCCTCGGAAATCCAAGGAGGGGTTGCAATGAGTTGGGTCGACTGGAGGGCACCTAACAACAGAGTTAGTTGAAAGGCGGGGCAATCTACTTCTGTAAAGATGTAACACCTTGGAAACCCGATGGGGATTGCTATGAGTTGGAGATGAATCCATGGCAGTCGGTTTGGTTTTTGGTTTAAGTTAGTTGAAAGACTTGCATTCTGTAGGATATCTAATATCTAAAGCTACAAAGAAACAGAACAAGCAAGATAAATAATGCATTCCACACCCAATATGTATAACATCTTCTGGCATCCAGAAGCTATCAGTGAATAGTAGATGATGTCCTTCTAAATACTTTGGAAAAGGACTATGATCTACCTACTAACACATATCTGTTGGTCTCTTTGGTACAGAACTATTCCCCCCAGTTTGATTCATATGACGTCAAGGCTGGTGGAGCAGGAGCGCTGGGAGGATATCCTGGGCCAGCTGTATGTACAAATCTTCCTTAACATTTTAGAGCATTAACTAGCCTTCAAGTTTGTTAAATCTTGGACAGTTGTTCTTTTAGGAATACAGTATTGTTATGAAATCGTACAAAGTAGCCTACAAAAGTTGGACAAGGAAATGGTGGCATTTTTTGTTCCTTCTTTTATCTGAACTCATTCTTTCCTCACCACCTTTCCTTTCATAAGTTTTGCCACTCTTTCCTTCTTTATACAACCAACTACCTATACTGGGGCCTCACAGGCCTTCATGTTTGTCTCACACTCCTATGTAGTCCTTATTTTTAACTACGTTTTATTTTCTGTTCTCACTTTTCCTTCTTTTCAAATGAGTTGCTCAGAACCCTTTTTTGATGTCTTTTCATGTCTTAAATGCTACTTTCTAGATGCCCATTCAAATGATGGATAGGTAGTATAACAATCTGTTTCACCTTAGATCTTCAAATCAAACACAAATATTTCCAGAATTTGCTCAGTTTTTAAATTCATCTGCCTTTAATGGCAGATATTCACATTGCATCTGAAGGGTTTCCTTCAATGTAAATGGACTAAAGAAGAAAATGTCAAAAAGCATTGTAATGTGGGGACATTTACAGGAAACACAGTATCCCATGTAAATGACCCTTATTATGCCACAGCCTCTGGGGAAGAGTGCTGATGGGGAAGATGAAAATTTCACTCTATGCAACAGTGTATGCAGGTGCAAATGCAAGCATGGGCATGACGCTGGATTCTCTGATTATGGAGGATTACTCTCCAGATCAATGTGCCTCTTATTTGTGATTTTCAAAACTGTTGGGACAAAACTTGAGCCAACAGATTGAAATGACCAGTTAAAGAAAGCCCCTTAGAATTGGTGTAAATTAAATTGGAAAACTGCAATTCTACAGTTTTGGGGGCTATGGTTTTTATGTTGCTGTTGTTTTGTTTTTAATATCTTTCAAACTCAGGAGGAAAATGTTCATTATTTAGGCAAATGTGGGGTTTAACACAACTGCATCCTCATTATGAATCTTTTTTTTTCAATCAGCTATACTTTTTTAAAAACAAACAAAAAAAAACTAAATAGGACTATTACTTTTTGACATCCAAAAAAAGGATCACAAGGGAATATTCCATTACAAATTGTCTTATAAATTTAATATCAGTGTTTAAAAACAGCAATACCATACTACTGAAAGTTTTCTACTTTAATCTGTATTTATGAACAATAATAAATCAAATAGTTATTAGGTAACTCTACTCTATTTATGAAATCATCAAGCTTACATACCTCTGTGAGATCTATGTTAATATACATTTTTGATTGATTTACATTATTTTAGAAATTTGGATTTGGGGACTTATAGTAAGCAGACAAACATTTTTTCACATAGAGTTGGACTGCCAGGTGAAAAATTTGTTCTTCACCAGTGCTAGTATCATCCTAATATTGCAGGGATCTTCATAGCACTTCATATTGATGTTTTCATATTTTGAAGTCCCCTTTATAGGAGATTCATGTCAATATTTTATAATGTTATGAGTAATTTTTACTGAATCAGTGGGAATTTAATTTAGAGTGATAGTTTCTTACTGAGAGCTACTTTGTAGAACTCACAAAATTAATCATATTCAAGAATAGTTACTCAGTAGTGAGCTTAGTTATCCTTATTTTAAAGACGTCAATATTATTCTTACAAAGTTATCTCTTTGATGAATGAATAAAGTATATTTCATATGCATTTGTTTTGTATTTATCATTCACATTTACATTCCAGGGTCCCCCAGGCCCTCCTGGTCCCCCCGGTACATCTGGCCATCCTGGTGCCCCTGTAAGTATAGCCCTTAGCTGGACTTTTGTCTTCATGCATATTGTACAAATCAAATTAATATAAAGTCCTGCTTTAATTTTTTTCATTCCCAGCATGCATAGTCTCAAATAAGTAGATATATCCTTACCCAGAAATGGATTGTTCCTTTAAAGATGCTGAAATTCTATTTGTAACACCTTTACACTAACAACTATTAACAATTCAAACCTTGGTAATATTAAACCACATGTTCAAGTGCATGTTATATTGCTTCAAGTTCAAAACAGTTCATTTACAATGTAGTGCTACATAATGAAGTGGAACAAATTAACTGTATTCTTACCTGGAAAGAAAATAGGTCAATCTTTATAAACTGGAATCAGCTTCTTAGACTCACAAAAACTGATTTCTTATTGTCTTCAAGGTATAAATGATTCATAAAAAATTATGTTGCTTTCAAAATATTTACATATGATTCAATCCTTTAGGGTTCTCCAGGATACCAAGGTCCCCCTGGTGAACCCGGACAAGCTGGTCCTTCAGTAAGTAATAATTCAATCTCTACTTAGTAAGTTACAAATTCCACATATAAACTATCTTCAATTTCTAAAACATATAAATCCCTATGAAGTGTAGATTAAATTTATGACTCAATTTTAAAATAATAAATAGCATTTTCATAGTAGTTGAACTAGTTTCCAAGATCTTTTGAGTTCTTTAAATAGTTTAGACATCTTCGAGACATTCACTATTTAATTCCCTGGCTCATTAGATGTCAGAACAGTCCCAGTGCTGCTATAGATCATTTCTCTATTAAATATAGATGTCATTTTCTTCGTGGTATTCAGTTCATCCTTATATTTCATTTTATGATATATCGTTTCTTAAACTTAATTTTTATTTTAGAAGTAAGTGTAATCTAATAGAGTCCTCCAGAAGGACACACTGCGCAAGCAGGCAAGTAAGGTGGAATTAGTTTAATTTGATATTTCAAAATATTTAGAAACACATATGTCCTTAGTACATTTGGATTTATAAATATACACACATATAAAACATAGATACATAATGCTTTTATTTCTATTGAAATAAATTTAATAAACAGTAAATGTTATATATGGTACAAGTATAATACTAACTCAGTAAGTATCAATTTCATAATGAACCACACTGAAAGTATTTTCTAAAAGAAGATTCCCTCCAAGAATACACATAAAATAAAATAATAAATTGATGTAGCAGAAAAATTACAAATGTATTTGCTTTTTTTTTTTGGTTGCATATTAATTATTTCCTAATTTACAGGGCCCTCCAGGACCTCCTGGTGCTATAGGTCCAGCTGGTCCTGCTGGAAAAGATGTAAGTTTTTAAGGATTGACTATAGATACAGCAAAGTTCAACTCGGAATATTCTAAGTAGCATGTACTATTTGGCAGAATCTTCAAGGGAAAACCTTATTTAGAAAACTGTTGATGTCTTAACATTTTAGCTCATATTAATCTTTGAATATTTGTACAATATTTGCATAGCTAGATATACCATTTATTGAATTCTAGACAAATAGAACTCGGACATATGCTTCTTGACGTTCTCAACAAGACCGGGTCAGTTAAGGATATATCACTTAACTGGAACAGAAATAATTTTCTTCTCACTTCCTCTTATAAGTGAGAGCAATATCAGTACTTTATGAACTTTAAAACTTACAAAGATCTTTAATATTATGCCACTGTATCTTTCTCATTTAATTTCCAATGGTAAATTCTTCTCACTGGGTTGAGGGATGATCATAATATGTCAGTGAGGAGAGACCTGCATTATGTTTTCGTAAGTTTATATCAAGATGGAAGAAGTCTTCATTTTTTCTAAGAAAGTAATCTAAGAATTGTACCTTTAGTCCAATTATTTTGATGAAGTATTGGTGAGAAATATGAAAAGTAATTAGTTCCCTAATTGTCTGTAATGTATTTTCTCATACACAAACACATATAAATCCTTTATTTCTCCACCTAGGGAGAATCAGGAAGACCTGGACGAACTGGAGAGAGAGGACTGCCTGGACCTCCAGTAAGTCTTCAGCATTCAATAAATAAGTTGGAACAATCACAATTATTTTAGTTTGAAAATTATTCTATAACTAAATTAAATTTAAAAGGAGAAAACACTTTACTACTAGATTGTAATTATATTTGAAAGCTGATCCATATTTTTTCTCTTAATTATTTTTAGGGTATCAAAGGTCCTGCTGGCATGCCTGGATTCCCTGGTATGAAAGGACACAGAGTAAGTGGAGTTTCTAAGTTGTTTATAACCTGTCTCACTTGACTGTCTTTACTAGGGAATTCTGTGTGTCTCCAAAATGATTGATTCTGACTACGAATTTTCTGCTCTTAACAACACTGTAGCTCATGTTAATCTTTGAATAGCTGTACAATATTTCCATAGAAAAATAAGTCTAGCAGCTTTATGTTTACAAAACCAACTGGCTATTCTATGCAAGCTTATTCAGCTAATTTTGTATGGAGGTGCATGGAAATCATTGGGAATGTATAATTTAATTTTCTTACCCATTATTGGAACAAATGAAAAAAAAATTATTGACAACTCTATGTTATTCATTGAATCTAGCAAATTTATACTGTGCTAAAACATTAAGTAGACTCCAACAACTGAGCTAAAATCTAACAACTTGATAGAAATAAGACTTCTGAAGCTGCTATTTGTACTCTATAGTTAAGGCAACTTCTTAATTAGACTAACCAACAACACAACAACATACTTCCTGGTTAGTTCACATATTTTTGCTATGAAATAAATGTCTTATAGGCCTTTAAAACCATTTTAAATTATTTAAATCAGTGTTGAAATGTTTGCTATGTAGTAAAAATGAGTTACATTGTAGATCATTAACAGTTTTTTTTTTTTTTTTAACCATTTTTATGTATTTCATAGGGATTTGATGGACGAAATGGAGAAAAAGGTGACACAGGTGCTCCTGGATTAAAGGTAAACCATAATAAAATAATCTCACAATTAGTTAATTTATAAATTTTATACCTATGTTTAATATTCATATTTTACAGTTTAGTTTTTTCTTAAATTTATCTGAGTTTTGCCTTTAGAAGATGAGTAATAATTACTGAGATATTCTATTACACCTTACATGAAAGTTAACTTGAAGTGTTCAGATTAGATATTATTGAATAGCAATGATCACTTTCATTTAGTCAAGTTTTCAAAAGGTAGAAATTAAGATTTCTGAGACATGAAGTACTAACACAAATTAGATTTGTTAAAATGTACCTTCTTCTTAATTTCTGTAAGAGTTTCTTTATAATATGTTGCAATAAAAACTTATAAAAAATCTCTTTTTATTACATAAAATACCATATTTTATATCTCTAGGGTGAAAATGGTCTTCCTGGTGAAAATGGAGCTCCTGGACCAATGGTAATTACACCTATTATCATATAATTTTCGGTTTTATTATAAACTTCCCTCCTCACAAATCAACAGTTCTTGAAGACTTTAAGATAAAACTATACTTTTAATTTACACTGTAGGGTCCAAGAGGGGCTTCTGGTGAAAGGGGACGACCTGGGCTTCCTGGAGCTGCGGTAGGTATCATCACCAACATTGTCTAACTGCAACCTAAAGAGACAGATATAAGAATCCCAGTCAGATTTCCAGGTTGTGAAAGTCTGCAGGAAAATATTTCTATAAAATCATAAAAAGTCAGCTTCATAAAATTTTGATCATAATTATGGGAAGAAGAATAAGTGTTTTATAAAGTATCTTTTTTTGTTGTTCTAATTTTAACTTTGCATGTATTATTAGAGGCATGTATTTACATTCCAATTTTTAAAACACAGAATTTAATCCTCCTGTATTATAGTATTGCTGTCTAAATCAGCATTTTAGCAATTTGACTCAAATCTATAATTAGTAAGCAGATTCAAAATACCCTTCAGGAAATAGCAACTTAATTGAGAATTTTTGTCAAAATTTTATTTGTGACTAGACTTTCAGAGGGAGCGCTGGTGGCATAGTGCCTAAGGCATTTGACTGCTAACCAGAAGGCTGGAGGTTCAAACACACCAGCCTCTCCTTGGAAGGAAGGTTGGGCAATCTACTTCCATAGTGAGATCTTCTCGGAAACCCAAGGAGGGGTCGTTATGAGTCGGGTTCTACTCGATGGCATTGGGGTTAGCCTTTCAGAATTAAGATATTTGAGACGAATTTCTCTTTTTAGGGAGCTCGAGGCAATGATGGTGCTCGAGGTAGTGATGGTCTACCAGTAAGTAACTTTTTATCTAACTCTTCTTTGCTCCAGGGTAATGAGAGATTAAGTGCTATAGAATATGCATTCATTTTGGCTTCTATATTGACTATCTTTAAATATATATATACATATAAATGTTATTGTAAAACCAACACTCAACATTGCCAATAAAAACCTGATTGCAATTGATACTGAACCCATAAACAAAATCTAACTTTGATACTCCTTAAAGTACTTGACCAATTATTAATATCTGTTTGGTACTTACAATGCTAATATCCAATGTTATTGGATATTACAATTAAACCATTCCTGGAAAAAAATGCTAATTTTACCTTTATTTTATAAATAAGAGCACAAATACTCAGGACTAAGTAACCTGTACAAAGTTACAGAATTAATGACAAAAATCAAGGAAAATTAACTTTTCTAACTTTGCATTTCACTTTTTTTTTCGCACATTATTTCTCCTAACAATATTCATCCATGAATAATGAATACTTTCCTATGGGAGAAAGATGGCAGTGTGTGGCAGTATGCTTCCAAGAGATGAGATATCGTATGAGGCAGTTCTACTTTGTCTTTTAGGGTTGCTATGATTCAGAATGGACTAAGGGATTGAGTATTCTGCATAATTCATCTGCATAAAAATTTTCTGTATTTTGCATGGGTTTGTTTACTATTAATTAGTAGTACTAGCTTTAATGTGGGAGCTCTGGTAGCATAGTGGATAAGACACTTGCCTGCTAACCAGAGGGCTGGCGGTTCAAACCCACCAGCCACTCCTCAGAAGGAAGGTTGGGCAATCCTACTTCTGTAGTGATACTGCCTCGGAAACCCAAGGAGGGGTCGCTATGAGTCAGGTTTGACTCGACAGCACATAACAACAACAACAACAGAGCTTTAATGTACTTGATTATGAGCTCTTAACCTTGTTTTAATTTTTTTAGGGCCCCCCCGGTCCTCCAGGAACTGCGGGTTTCCCTGGTTCCCCTGGTGCTAAGGTAAATATGTATTTTCACCAAAGAATAGGAGTCCTGGTGGTACAATGCTTAAAGCAGTTGGTTGCTAACCAAAAGGTCAGGGGGTTGAAACCACCAGCTGTTCCTCACGAGAAAGATGTGGCAGTCTGCTTCTGTAAAGATTACAGCCTGGGAAGCCCTACGAGGCAGTTGTACTCTGTCCTCTAGGGTGACTATGAGTCAAATTCAATTCAACATCATTTTTTTTTTTTTTTTGAGGAGTGGTTTACAGAAGAATCTAAAATATATCTTGGAGACAATAGAAGAGTATTGACTTGCTTCTTGAAAATGATTTTTGTTACCAGTCAAAAGGATATCTTTAATCTATACAGGGTTTTAAAGCCCTTTTCTTGATTCACCTCTCCTGATAGCACTTCTACTGTTAACTCTGTGTTTTTCTTCTTCTTTCTGGGATAGTAGAGACAGCGCAGTCATGCACATATTTGCCATTTTTCTCTGCCTTGATGATTAGTGATTTTTCACGTCAGCTACAGCATATATACTACTTCAGCCTTTGGGAGACAGGTTTAAACAAGACTGAAGAGTAAACTGGCTCAGTGATCTGAAGTGGTAAGAGAAACTGACTTCTGAAGGTTTTATCCCTTAGGGTGAAGTTGGACCTGCAGGGTCTCCTGGTTCAAATGGCTCCCCTGGACTAAGAGGAGAACCTGGACCTCAGGGACATGCTGGTGCTCCAGGTCCTCCTGTGAGTAGCAAATATGTCCCTTGAGAAAGGAGTAGTTCTACACATATGGAAGCATATGTTTCAATGTTGCTGTCTTTTAAAATTGCCTTCTTAAAAAATTTTTGATTAGTGCTTTCTGCTTTCTACTAGCTGAGATAAACATTGATTGTTGATGGTTACACTCTTCTGGAATTTATGAATTGCATGCTTATGTAACACAGTAAAGCAGAAGATGGATGAGTTAGCTGACACTTTGGAGAATATGCCCTGAACTAACTACCTGTCATAATAATTAAGGGAAGGAACAAGACCAAAATTATCTCCTATTAATTTATTATTTAATAGCTTTGACCAAGTGCATACTATCCCTAATTTATTCAGATAATGCTAACTCTCTTTGCCTGTATTTTTAGGTGATATTCTATAGTTGGAGAAATCTCCTATTCTCTATAAAGCATCATGTTCATCAGGAAATTTCTTTTACCAACATATAAACAGCTTCAAATACATATGCATTAGTCACATTATTTTTTATATGCTCTTTTTTTCTCTAGGGTCCTGCTGGGAGTAACGGTAGTCCTGGTGGTAAAGGTGAAATGGTAAGCCGCCTCCCACACCTCACCCTCATCCACACACACATTCCTGGCTTCGTCCCATTTTGCCTAGTGATAGATTTGTGATGTTTAACTTAGATATTCAGAAAAGCAAGTTCAAGTTTGTCTTAGTCTAATATTAGTGTTACATGATTGTTTCTAGGGTCCTGCTGGCATTCCTGGAGCTCCAGGGTTGATGGGAGCTCGAGGTCCTCCAGGACCAGCTGGTACTAATGGCATTCCTGGACTTCGAGGTGCTGCAGTAAGTAGCCTATTTTCTCTTTGTTGCCTCAAATCTATGGCTTAATTTCCACAACAAAAATAGAGATCGTAATGATTTTGCTCCGTTTTGTTGAATATACATTGATTTCATTAAGCTTTTATACCTGAAATGTGTTACTAGTCACCAGCCACTCCTCGGAAGGAAGATGGAGAAATCTACTTCCTTAGTGATAGTGCCTCGGAAACCCAAGGAGGGGTCGCTATGAGTCGGGTCCGACTCGACGGCACATAACAACAACAACA